TTGCTGCAGTGCGTTTGTGCTCGTTTGAATAATGTTCTTATACAGCTCCTCTTGTGGGAGGTTGGGTTGTTACTTTGGTAATGGAGTACAGTGGTACCTCAGATCACGAACGCTTCTGTTCACGAACAATTCGGTTCACGACCAGCACCGTTCGCAAAATTTTGCTTCCGTTCGCAAACGCAGGATCGGGTGACAAACGGAACCCGCGGCCATTTCCCCTGCCGTGACACGTGGTCGTGGCTTCCTGTAGGGAGGGGGCCTCCCCCTCCAAACATTAACCGCCTCCCCACCCGCCTTCCTGTCCTCCACGCCAGAAGTCGCCTCAAGCAAGGTTAGCGTTCTCTCTCTTCGTACTGTACTTTGTTTCATATTTTTGTGGTTTAAAAAAAAAAAATCATAGGGGTCAAAACGGATTAACCGTATTTACATTGAACCTTATGGGAAAATTTGAATCAGTTGGCAACCAAAATCGGTTGGCGACCAAATTCATAGGGGTCAAAACGGATTAACAGTATTTACATTGAACGTTATGGGAAAATTTGATTCAGTTTGCGACCAATTTGGGTCGCGACCAGAGTCACGGAACGAATTAAGTTCGTGACCCGAGGTACCACTGTACTTGATTGGTGTGGGTTGTGTTTCGATAGACTTGAGCTTCTAATTTCCTGTTGTTTCCTCTGCTGATGAGGATATCGAGGAAGGGTAGTGTGTTAAGTTCGTGAACCGAGGTACCACTGTACTGGTCCTCCTCCTCACAACCCTGGTTCTGGACTAAGAAAGGAACAAAACAAGTAGACCGGTATTTGCTCAGATAGAATCAAGCGCGTGACCTTGACGCGTGAAGTCTTGTCGGCTCCCCTTGCTTTCTAGGATCTCCCGGTCTTCGTCCAAGAAGGACTCGCACAAGTCTAGGGGCGGCTAGAATTGATTTTTTAGAGCCCAGCCCTGGTCAACAATGTGGATTAAAACGTAAAGAGGGAATCTCACACTCAGATATTCACTGGGTACAAGACGCAAAAAAGGGTATTTACTTACTATGAAGTCTCAGGTTCAAGCAGCTGTTTGGCTCAAAACCAAAGCTCCCTTTACTACCAATGTTGAAGCAGGCAGAGACTGGGGCAGCACCCTCCAGACAAATGGGCCGGTGCCGGCTGGGTGAAGTTGCCTGGGCTTGGTCCGTGGACCCGGTTAGTCTCAGGCTCCTGGCTGGCTTGTCAAAGGGTTAGAAAGAAAGCTTACAAGGTTTGTCTCCCAGCCGGGAATAAACAGGCAGGCAGATGCTTGAAGGAGAGAGAAGACTTTATTTTCGAGAGCCCCATACACAAAATGAGATCAGCTGTCCGGGCGGCTGCACTAAGGGTTTCCCCAGGAGTTCCTTTTATAGGGAAGACCCTATTGTTCCTTGCCGACAAAGATCCGCATAGTCAAAGCTATGGTTTTTCCAGTAGTAATGTATGGCTGTGAGAGCTGGACCA